AAAAAAAAAAAAAGTCCAACAACCCAATTACGGCAGTCAATCGCAGCGGCTCCAACCTCCAGCAGCAGCAGCACTAGCTGTAACCAACTGGGGTCAACGACGCATCTGAGAATCAGAGCAACAATATCATTGAAGTGTACTATGCAGATTTCAGTTATACTTCGTTTGGCACATAGCCAAATTCGTTCGTTTCATTTCATTTAGCGTACAATAGTATCTGAGTGGCTCATTTTTTTTCTTTTTTTTCAATTTTCCTCTCGTTCTTCATCTTTTGTATTTCATACCTCTATTTCATCAGTAGCATCATCATCAGCGTTAGATTGTCCGGCTTTTGTATCAGTCTGTTGCATTATTCTTTCATCTTTTCGTCTTATTATTAGTTATTGTTGACTTTTTGATACTACTGATTGTTATCACTGCTTACTGTTAGTATAAATATTAATACGGTCTTACGTTTTTATTTTTCAAGGTATTACAGTGCTCTTGTGAAGGTAATTTAACAAATTAAAAATTACTATTGATAAACTTACCAAAAGTCTTTAAAGCTGATGTTTTTTTTTCTTTGGGTTTTCTTTCCTAAAATTTATTCACTGTTATATAAAGTGAGTAAGCATGAGAAAATTTTGTCACTCAAACTTTGTATATACTCGGGTATTTGTCCGTGAAGTTTGATAGTCCATTTTCATTTATGCTACACTGTTGATATTATAGCTAATGATTTTGGTGGTAGTTGACTGCAACAGTAATGGAACATTATGAGCTGTATTTGCTTGTTAGTGAGTGAGTGTCAGTGAGTGTGTGAATGTGTGTCTGTATAAGTGTGTATCTGTATGTGTTGTTATTATTGCTCTTCGGCAGCGCGAATTTTCTTAACGCAAGTGTTTTGCACTGATTCATACAGATAGTTCTTTTTTTCCGGTTGATATCAGTTATTTTAGGATTTTTTGCTTGAATATTTTAATATGATGTATTCATAAATGTTCGGTAATTTGCCTAAACATTTTTTATGCTTAATTTTTGTTTTACTTGGTCAGCAATGAGGGAGCATTAACTATCATTTGAAGTGTATTTTTAAGCACTTATTTAGAACAGGAGCTTCGAGTAAAAAACTGTAATTAATCAAAGTGTGTGGGTAGCTGCATTTTTAGTCTGGATGGGCATAAAGTGTAAAAAAACTTGATGCTCTATATCTTTATCGAGTGTTAATGGTTGTTTTAGTTGTGTTCGCTGAACAGAAGAGTTGTTGCTTACTCTTTTTTTTATTTTTCTGTAAACTGTGATTCAGCTACTTTTTTCGACAAATCTGTAATCTGCTTTTTTAACTACGAGTTAGTTAAAAAATCTGAATGTTCCTGTACAGGTATTTTTGAACTTTGGTAATCATCATATATTTTTTCGTTTTTGAGTCATTCTTGAGTTTTTTTTTTTTTTTTTCTTGGAAACATGTATTACGCTGCTTGTTCTTTTTTTGTCTTCGGTCTTTTTTCTTATCTGCAAGTTAATACTAATTTAAGTAATAATTATTTCTTTCTAAAATTTCCTTTAGCTTTTGTTTCTGATCTCTTTTCATTCTTTTTTTCTGACGGGACTGTTCAATGCTCACTCGTTTAAGTCTTCCATAAGTAGACTATAATATGGAAAATTATGTTGTAGGCTTTACGTTTATTTTGCAAAAGAAATTGTGTGGAAATCCCGGCTTTATTTCACAAGAAGAAGCTTATTTTGGTAGCACGGAAAATTAACAGTAAGTGTTTTTTTAAAGTTTCCTGTCGTTGAAATGGAGAACAAATGTGCATTTCATGACACCGGAAGGCGATGACTTTTAAATAATTTGTGAAGTCAAACTTCGATCCTTATCTTTTCGTGTGATTTGATAATGAGTCTGTTTTACAATGAAATGGTATGAAAATTATGTGAAGTTCTACAAAAAGAACGAAGATGACTGCAACTATCAGTTCTGGAGTGGGAATCTTATGATAAAACTTGTTGAAAACTTGTTTTTCTACTTTCTCCTCTGTATGCTTTTATAATCATGTTTTATCAATATGGTATTACCTTGATATATCAATTGTTGCTTCGCTTGGATAGAATAAATGGTAAAGCATGAATCTCTTTTGGAAAACAAATTAAGGGGAGATTCATTCCGTTTTTTATTTATACTTTTTTATTGAGGAGGCACTGTTTACTTTTTTCTCGTTTTTCTTTCGGCGTTTGGATGCTCTACCTTTTTTTAATCCGTTTATTTATCTTTAGTTCTCAGAAGTTTCTTTCAATTCAGGTACCACTTGGCAAAGGATCTCATGCGCTTAAAAGCAACTGAAACATGTTCGAGTCCCCTTGAGAGCCAATTTTTATATGGGTATTTAAATTTCTTACGTTTTTTTTACATCTTTATCAGTTTCGTTTGCAATCATCTTCCCAAAGCTTTTCTGTTGAAAATTTCAGAAGTTTTTCAATTCTAATTCATGCGAACTGCTTTCTCGTATGATTAGGGTGGAAAATGCATTCTGCTGTGGGTATACGGTATCAGGCAGACGGTGATCATCCGATGCCGTGGTTTCACGGGAATATAACACGCGAACGTACTGAGAAGTGAGTTCATCTTAGGTTAAATTGTCTTTTGTTATGCTTTTCTTTCCAGTTTTTGACTTTTCGTATTGTCATGGCCTAGATAGAAGTAATATCATACTCTTTTAATTTTTATTTCTCTTCTCCATATTCATTCTTTTTTAGCTTGTTGGATGTCACGCCTGTTCTTTGAGCGTCAATTTTTTACGTTGTTAGGTCGTATTGATTTATGATGTTTCGATTAGTGAGACCTTTGATTTTTCTGTCTGTTTGTGGTTGAAGACCATTTAATGTTTTTTAAACTTACGTAAACATCCCAATTTTGGAATACTTTTGCAGTTCGCGAAATAAGTTTCTATTATCAAACACTGAAAATAAAAGTCTTTGTTGGCTTGTCTTCTGTATTGCATAAGCTTTCTTTTGTTTGCTTTGCTATGTCAAAAATATTTTTAATGCTCAAAAATTTGTAGTAGTTTTGTAAGAAATAATTCGGCACATAGATATTTAATTTTTTTTTATAGCAGGTGGTGAGTGTATGACTGATTTTTATAATGGTCTACTTTGATTAGTCTGTGGAGGGAATTTCACTGAAATAGAAGCATTATTCAATTCTTGTACGACTCATCTTTGGAAGAAGTTGCTGTAGGTTAGAATTATTTTTAGATTACTTTCGAATAGAAGTGACGGGACATTCTTGGTGCGAGATTCTACCAATTTTCCAGGAGATTTTACGCTATGTATGGCATTTAAAGGGAAAGTCGAACATTATAGGTGGGCTTGTACTTTTTTAACTGTAAGATTGGACTTTTTTTTCCTATCGGAGGACCATATTAAGTGAGA